GTAGAGTTGTAGGAATTTGTCCATCTCCTCTAGATTGTTAAACTTGTTTCCATATAACTGTTCATAGTAGTTACTGATTATTCTTTTGATTTCTGCTGTGTCCGTTGTGATTTCTCCTCTTTCATTGATGATCCTGTTTATTTGTGCTTTCTCCCTTTTTTCCTTTGTGAGCCTGGCTAGGGGTTTGTCTATTTTATTGATTTTTTCAAAGAACCAGCTCTTGGTTTCATTGATCTTTTGGATTGTTTTTTTAGTTTCAATTTCATTTATTTCTGCTTTGGTTTTTATTATTTCTTTTCTTCTACTGGTTCTGGGGTTTTTTTGTTGTTCTTTTTCTAGATCTTTGAGCTTCGAGATTAGGTTGTTTCTTTGAGTTCTTTCTTGTTTTTTGATGTGAGCTTCTATTGCTATATATTTTCCTCTTATTACTGCTTTTGCTGCATCCCATACATTTAGGATATTGGTGTCCTCCTTGTCATTCAATTCAAAGAATTTTTTAATTTCTTCTTTGATCTCCTCGTTAGTCCAGTGGTCTTCCAGTAGTGTGGCTTTTAATCTCCATGAGGTAGGATAGTTCCTTGCCTTCTTTTTATGATTTATTTCTAGTTTGATGCCTTCGTGGTCAGAAAAGATGGTTGGTATGATGTCAATCTTGGTGTATCTGTTGATGTTTGTCTTGTGCCCCAGTATGTGATCGATCCTGGAGAATGATCCATGTGCGCTTGAGAAAAATGTGTACTCCGTTTTTTTGGGGTTTAGTGTTCTATAGATGTCTGTTAAGCCCAAATGCTCTAGGTCCTTATTTAGAGCTTTAGTTTCTTTACTTATTTTTTGTCTTGTTGATCTATCCATTGTTGATAGTGGTGTGTTGAAGTCTCCCACTACATATGTGTTTTCTCTGATGTCTGTTTTCAGAGAGGACAACAGTTGTCTGATATATTTTGGTGCTCTTTCGTTTGGTGAATATATGTTAATGAGTGTTATTTCTTCTTGAAGTATTGTCCCCTTAATCATAATGTAGTGACCATTGGGGTCTCTTTTTATTTTTTGAGTTTGAAGTCTGTTTTATCTGATATAAGTATAGCTGTTCCTGCTTTCTTTTTTGGCCCATTTGCTTGTAGGATTGTTTTCCATCCTTTGACTTTGAGCCTATTTTTATCTTTTGTAGCTAAATGTGTTTCCTGGAGACAGCAAAAGGTTGGGTTTTGTTTCTTAATCCAGGCTGCAACTCTGTGTCTTTTTATTGAAGAGTTTAGTCCATTTACATTTAGAGTTAATATTGATATGTTAGCATCTGTATTTGCCATTATGTTTGTCTTTCCTTTGATTTTATTTATTTATTCTTTTAATAACTTTTTTTTTTTTTTGGTCTTCTTTTGTTGTTATTCGTCCCTCTGAGGTTCTGGCTTTAGGATTCCTTGTAGTATTTTTTGGAGTGGGGGTTTAGTCGCAATGAAATTCCGGAGTTTCTCTTTGTCTGGGAAGGTCCATATTCTTTCTTCATGGAGGAAAGAGAGCTTTGCGGGATAGAGTATTCTTGGTTGGCATCTGTTTTCTTGGAGTCTGTTGACTATGTCCCTCCACTCTCTCCTTGCCCGTAGTGTTTCTTCAGAGAAGTCTGATGTCAGCCTGATTGGTTTTCCTTTGAATGTTATCTGTTTCTTCCCTCTTGTCAGCTTCATTATTTTTTCCTTGTCCTGGATTCTTGGGAGCTTTACTATTATGTGTCTTGCTGTGTTTTTCCTTTCGTCGTGGAAGTTTGGTGTTCTTCTTGCTTCTTGTATATCAATTTTCAGCTCCTTCTTCTCATTTGGGAAGTTCTCTTCAATTATATCCATGAATATTTTCTCTGTTCCTACATCTCTCTCCTCTCCTTCTGGAATTCCTATAACTCTTATATTTCCTTTCCTCATGGAGTCAGATAGTTCCCGAAGTCTTTCTTCATTCTTTTTCCTTCGTACTTCTCTTTCCTTTTCTGTTTTGGTTCTTTTTATTTCTGTGTCTTCAAGATTACTTATTCGTTCTTCCATTTCATCTATTCTGCTTTCATTGCTTTTCCCAGAGTTCTTTAGTTCCTCCATTAATTCTTTGATCTCCTGCATTTCTCTTACTTCCCTCTTCAGGGACTCAATTTCCTTCTTCTGATCTATCACTTTTTTAATCATGGCAATTTTAAATTCTCTTTCTGGAAGGCTCAGAAGTTCTTCCAAGTTGCTGTCGTTGCAATCTGGGGAGTGGTTTTCTTTTTGTGGTGTGCTTCTTTCCTGAGGAGTTTTTAGGTTGCGTGTGGTTCTTCTACTCCCTACTGTCTGTTTTCTAATTTGTCGTATGCGTTGGGACACTGTGTTGCTCGGACTGACTGACATCTTGGGTGAACTTCTCCGCTCCCCTCTGGCTCTTCCAGGAGCCATCTCTGTCTTCTAGGGGAGCTTTCTGCTGGTTTTAGGCAGTTTTTACTTAAGAAATGTCCCTGTTCTCAAATGGCGAAGCGGGATGCAGTCCCTGCGCCTCCGGTTTCAGGCACACTCTTCTGCGCACCCGGTCTGCCCCGGACGTGGGTGCCTGCTCCCTCTGTGGGCTCAGACTGCTGGTCGGAAGGGGCCTGGCGTGGAATAACTTCCCGGCTGGCCACTGGGTCCTCCAGAAACCTTCTGCCCTTTTCAAGCAGTCTTAAGAAATGTCCTGTTTTATAGGGTGTTAGTGACTTTTTTTTTCCCTGGTCGCTAGGTGGCGCCAGAGATCTCTCCTATTGTCCTTGGGGGGCTGTTTTTCGCCTCCCCCCACCCCGTGGGACAGAGAACAGAGGGGGAATGGTAGGGTACACCTCAACAGCTTTGGGGGTGCTGTGTCTGCCTTGTGCCCCACCGTCGTGGAGAAACCACGCCCCGAATTTTCGTGCCCCGGGTCTCAGTTCAAAGCCCTCAGTTCCAGGACGCGGGCTGTAGCCCAGTTCAGTGGCACGGGAATGGCGCCTTTTGCACCGCTCCCGTGCCTGGGCGCCTGGTTCCTGCTCACTCAGGGAGGGACCTTCACCTCAGTGAGGACCTCTGTGCGTCTCCCCGCAAGCCTAGGTCGCAGGCGCGGGGACCTGGGCAGCCGCGATCCAGGTTTGCACTTGCTTTTCAAGCGCGCAGAGCGCGCCGCTCTCCGCGCAGGCTTACCGGCAGCCCGGGCTGTGTGCGCGTCTCCCGGGGTCTTTGTTCTTCTCTAATGGCGCCCAGAGCCGTTCGCTCACCGCCGCGGCGGATCCTGCAGGGTTCGCCTCAGCTCCCGTTCACGGGGTGTGGTGGCTGCAATAGTTCCTTTCCACTCACAGGCCCGCTTGCTGCGTCGTTTGTTCTTGTTGGCAGTTTTGGTTTGTTGTTTCCTCCTCTCTGCCGGTCGGAGAGTGCCGGCTCTGTGGGCGGGGGAGGGGAGCAGGGTTCTGCGCTTCCCTCCCTTCTAGTCCTCTTTTATGGCCAGTTTCTTCTTAGGGCAGTTCGCTGGCGTCACCCGTTTATCTTCCGTGTCCCAGTTCTCACTGGGACCTGCCGCTTTTCCTCCCTATTAACTTTTTTTAATGGGAGATCTTACTCGCAGCGTCTCCTCGCCGCCATATTGCTCCGCCCCTCTCCCATGTATGTTTTAAAGACAATCCATGTGTGAACGGTATTAACGGGTCAGTGAGATGCGCTCACACCCAGCTCCCCGACTACATCTCTTCCCAGCATGACCTTGCTCTACAGGAGGTGGGTGCCAGGATCTGCACCAACACTAGGTAAGTTAAAATGCCACATTGTGTGAGTCTTGGTCTTTTGCACTGTTTAGAGAAAAGCCTGTGTATCATGGTGTTCACAGATCATGACTCATCTAGCAAATCGTGGATCATTCTTAAAATTACTTTTGCAAATGAATTGGACCAAAATAGATCTCACCTTGTATTTTTGTTGAAATCGTGTGTTTTACCATTTTCTTACTGATTCCTAAATGACAGGATTAGATCTTTATAAATCTTTTCCATAGTTGTGTGTGTGATTAGGTTCTAATAATAGCTTGGTTGGTGATGTTACTTTCAGACATTACAATTTCTTAGACACAGAAGTAAGTAGATGTTGATGTTTTGTTCATGGCGGTTACAGTTTAGTTCTGGATATGATCCCCCCCATGCCCTACCTCTCCTTCTCCTTCACTCACAGAAAGAACAAATTGTGGGTCTTCATTTTTGTGTACATGGGATGTGTTTTCTGTCAATGGACCCATTGCCAGGGTAAAGGGACAATGACTGTGGCTTTGAATCCTGCCTCTGTTCACTTCGAGCATTATGGGCTCAGAGAAGTCACTGACTCCCTGAGCACCTGCTTCCTCATGTAGCAAACTTGCCTGGGGTCTCACACAGTATATAGGTGGTCTGAGAGGTAGAATTCTCATCATTGCTCAACAGAGTGCACAAAAAAAATTAAAATTCTACCTGCAGAAGCACATTTTGATGTTCATTCAATTAGCTGCATTCTCAGAACCCCTTTTCTGTGGATAGAGAAAGTCTAGTGAAGTCAGGAGAGACAGTGTCATACATTAGGGGAAGAAGAGCCTCCTCTGTTGTCTCCAAGTCTGCAGTCAGGCCTGCATTGTCATGTTCTGTTGGCTTAGAACAGCCAGGGAGGCAAAGTATTCCAAAGAGCTACTCTTCACAGGAATATTTTAACCTATCAAATGATACTGTATCTTGATTCCAGAAATATCTGGGATCAAGTTCACGAAAATATCTGGGATCAAGTTCACGAAAATGCGATATCTTGCCAGCTGCCATCATTTTTGCTTTTGGAAAGGTCAAACCTGCTGCTTTCCTGGACATGCTCAGTCACCAGAACCAGAGCCCCACTACAGCGCCTCTTCCTGGAATAAAGAGCAGCTGGAAGATCCCCTGCACATTGCATCAAGGCTTCTATGTGGGGTGTCGCCTACATGTGAGTCTTGAATCATGTAAATCCAGGTAAAGTAAAAAAGTAAACAGTTTGGTCTGGAAGTTTATTTTTCCCTCTTCTCACACAGCAGTGCAATCTGCATGGTGTTCCAGTGACTGGGAGGCTTCCTTGTGGGCAAGTAGACTGACGCAAAGAAGCTGGAGGATAAGCTGGTGCTTGTCAAAGTTCCTGATCTCTCTGGTGTCTGATACATGGGGCATTCAAAAGTGTAGAGCTCTGCATCTGTGTGACTGGAGGCACTGGGCCTTTCAGTAGAAATCTGGAAAAGAAAGTCCTTAACTGAAATGGCATAGCGCAAGCATACCAGTGACTCCCACTTTTTATGTTAGGTTTGTGGGATTTGCTACAGCATGGTTGTATGACTACTAGTAGAAATAATGCCGAAGAATGCACTTTAAAGAGTAATTATCATGTCCTTCCAGTGCATATTCTTGAGAAATAACTTTGGATGTTATTGTAGCATCTATTGATATTTTGGGTTTTAGCAATAGTTTGGCCTGTTTTCAATGTTTGCTGTCTGAAGCATATCGCCAAATTTCCCAAGTGAAGCTGCAGAGGGTGGGGATAGAAGGAGTGGTCTGTAGGTATTGCTGAGGGAAGTTCAAGAGATTTAAGACCAGAATAACAGGTGGGTAGTTACCTTTGTGGGCAGGAAGTATATCTCAGGAAAATCACAGCACGTCTCAAAAGGAAGTGAATCTTCCAGTACTTTCTTTTCATGATTCCACCTTGCCCCCTCGATGAATAAACCAAAAACATGAGCGCCGATGTGTGTGAGGTTTGTGCCCTAAGATCAAAGTGAGATGGTGTCAGTGGGTCCCCAGACAGGAGGCTCCAGTGGGTGGGTCACCTCCCTTCCACCCTGGGGGGACCACGCCCCCACCCCTAAGACCTGTTTCCTCAGGTTATAAGCTGTTGGTGCTTTGTAGGCTTTGGTGTATATATATGAAGATACTATACTGAAAAGTATTTCAAATAGTGAACCCCCAAGTTTCTAGAGTTATCCTCCTTAGCCCAGCTTTTTAGAAGACAGAAAAATTAGAGTCAAAATACTCTGCTTAAATTTATCACCTACTTCTATGTGCTACAATGATTGATTTAGGCTCTGAAAAGTTTAGAAGGCTAGGAAGGATTCTTTATCTTATTTTTGGATGATATGAAAAAGTTAAATAGGTTTTGTATAAGTTCTGGTAAGTAGAAAATGTACTTTTCTGGGTGACTCCAGGATGCCAGGGGCTCTCTCAGATGTGTGCAGTAGCCATGTGATCCAGCATGATCCACCCGGTTCCCCCCAACCCCCATATTAAAAAATGGGCAAAGGGCTTGAATGGACATTTCTCCAAAGAGGCACAGATGGTCAAGAAGCACATGTCAATACTGCTAGTCACTAGGAGATTGCAAGTCAAGCCCTCAGTGAGCTGCCTCTCAACAGCTGGCCACCAACAGCCAGGAGACAGCAAGCACTGGTGAGGATATGGAGAAACCGCCCTGGCATCTGGGGGTCTGTGGGCACTGGGCTTTCTGCCTACGCTGCCTCCTGGTTATCCTCAGCACACCCTGGGTGCCATTGAGTTTCACTGCAGGCTGGCTGGGGGTTTCTGCTGGGAACCTGCTCAACTCTGGAATAAGGGGCTCACCATGAGAAGTTCAGGCTGATGGCAGCCGAGAGGAGAGGCTGCCCCAGAGGGTCCAACACATATTTACATCCTGATTGCTACAGTGTCTGGTCATTTGTTGTGGTTATTTAAATCTTTTATCCATTTCATTCATTCATTCGTGATTATTCCTATCCTCTTAGGGAAAGAGCAGGAGGATGAAGCAGAGCTTGGGGGCCTGCCTGGTTATGCTGCCCCTTTCATACCTATGGCAGGCCTGGCCCCTCCTAAGTGCCAAGTGAGGGTTTGCTGAGGGGATGACCATGTTTGAATGAACAGTTGCCCTTCCAATCTTTTAATCATTCATCACCTTAAAGGCTCTCCTGAGGATGCTGACTTTCCTCTGGATGGTGATGGGGAACTCCTCATCATTGATGTCAGGGCTGTCGGAGATCACGTGGTGAGTAAAAGTGAGGGCATTTGTAGAGATTCCTTGGGACCTCCATAGTCTTGAAGCAAGGCAGTAAGAAAGGCTTTGAAGCAAAACACACCAACAAGTACCTTGTGAGTCCAGGGGCCAAAGTTGTGCACCTCCCAATGTTCCCATGGAGGCTACAACAGAGATGTCTTGTGGGAGGAGAGAGTGGAGAGTGAGAGACTGGTGGGGAGTCAGGAGGTGGGCACAAGCTGGCTGGGCAGGAGGAGACTTCAATCCAGCCACCTCACCGCCTTGGTGACATTAGTCTGGCCAGTTGATGGGCCTCTTGGGGAACAGTGGTTGCTTTTGTAGAAACGGTTTCCCACCCCCCACGTGGGTTCCCACCCCATGTGGGTTTAGAGGACCCTTAAATACTTCTGACCAAGCTTGACTGATCATGTGTCATGCTCCTGACAATCAGGATGGCTCTTTAGGAACAAGCACAACACCCAAGGGTGTCAGTCTTTCTCAAGAAATGTCACATTGACTTAGGGAAAAGACAGAGTCTAGAATCGCTAAACAGGTTGTGGTCATTCCCTGCCCTCCACCCCTTGGTTTCTTGGAGAAAGCTGTGGGCAAGAGACACACCAGGCCCCTCTGGCCTGCAGTCTGAGCCCAGAGGGGGAGCGGGAACTCACCACAGGGGCAGACAGGCACTCAGGGGAGTGTGTCCCGACATCGGCATTTTAGAACAGGGAACTTTCTTCAGTAAAGACTGCTTGAAACCGACAGATGGTTCCCGAGAGTCAGAGGGGAGCAGAGAAGTTCACCCAAGATGCCAGCCAGTCCCAGCAACACAGTGTCCCAATGCATACGGCAAATTAGAAAACAGACAGGGAGTAGAAGAACCACACGCAACCTAGCAACTCCTCAAAAAAAAGCACACCACAAAAAGAAAGCCACCCCCAGATGGAAACAACAGTAACTTGGAAGAACTTCTGAGCCTTCCGGAAAGAGAATTTAAAATTGCCATGATTAAAAAACTGACAGAAGTCATAAAGGAAAAAATGATAAGGGAAAAATAATCAACGATCAGAAGAATGAAATTGAGTCCCTAAGAGGGAAGTAAAAGAAATGCAGGAGATCAAGGAAATAATGGAGGCACTAAAGAACTCTGGGAAAGCATGAAAGCAGAATAGATGAAATGGAAGAATGAATAAGTACTCTTGAAGACACAGAAATAAAAAGAACCAAAACAGAAAACAAAAGAGAAGGAAGAACGAAAAAGACCAAAAAAGACTTCGGGAACTATCTGACTCCATGAGGAAGGAAATATAAGAGTTTATAGGAATACCAGAAGGAGAGGAGAGAGAGATGTAGGAATAGAGAAAATATTCAAGGAGATAATTGAAGAGAACTTCCCAAATGTGAAGAAGGAGCTGAAAATTGATATACAAGAAGCAAGAAGAATACCAAACTTCCACAACAATAGGAAAAATACAGGAAGACATATAATAGTAAAGCTCCCCAAGAATCCAGGAAAAGGAAAAAATAATGAAGCTGAAAGAGGGAAGAAACAGGTAACATTGAGAGGAAAACCATCAGGCTGACATCAGACTTCTCCAGAGAAACACTACGGGCAAGGAGAGAGTGGAGAGACATAGTCAACAGACTCCAAGAAACAGAACCAACCAAGAATACTCTATCCTGCAAAGCTCTCCTTCCTCTATGAAGAAAGAATAAGACCTTCCCAGACAAAGAGAAACTCTGGAATTTCATTACGACTAAACCCCCACTCCAAAAATACTACAAGGATCCAAAAGCCAGAACCTCAGAGGGACGAATAATAATGAAAGAA